AGGGCGCCCTCTGGCGTCCAGTATGAATGAAACAGACATCATGTGTTTATAGTGCTAATGGACAATCCATCATTTTTGGGGGAATTTTTATTCATTTATTTATTTATTTTTAATAAGTATCGGTTTAGGCACCGGAACCGTTTTAAAAGTATCGATTTGGCACTGGTATCGAAAAAACCCAAATGATACCCAACCCTACTCCTGAAGGGGTGTGATGTGCGATCAACAACCGGCTGAATGTACATTATCCCGCTTATTACATAAATACTTCCCACGCAAGTAAATAATAGGACACAGTATTGATTTGAGTTGAAATATTTCATTCGCTCATGGTATTAGCAAACCATCAAGGACGCGGACAGAGCTTCTAGTTTGTGGTACAGGTGTTCACTCTGGTGAAGGGTGTTCTCAGGCGCGATGTGAAGGGGATTGTGGTGAATCACTGTAGCGCATGATCTCATTACCTTCATAAAACGACAGCAACAGCAGTTCAACCAAACACACCAATGTTCAGCCAATAGTTACATGCATTCGTTAAAATAATCACAGTGAACTGTAACCCAAAGATTAGTGTAGTTGTAGCGACTCCACCATTACACCAGTGTTCATCACTGATGTGTGTTTTACATCCAGTGAGCTGTTTTAAAGGTGCTGATATTCAGATTAGAGACGCTCTGATCCGCCTTTTCACCTCCGATACTGATCCGATACCTGGGGTTCAGTACTGGCCGGTACTGATCCAATACCAGTGCAGTTTCTTTCCTTTTAAATCAGTGTAGAATTTCGGTGTCTCTGTAAAGAAAGAAAAATAAATATGAAAAAATATATATTTATATTCATAATCTATGACAAAAATATATTATAAACTAGGTTAGTGGATCATTCAGCAGCAAAAGTTATTCTAGAAAAGTCTGTGCACAATAATTTTATAAATCCAAACATTTAGTGAAAAACATTATTTAGAGGGGAACAAATAAAAGTGTAGCACTAAATCTGGTAAAATCTTACACACCGCTCTTTGTATTGTTGCATTGATGAGAAACAGTATATTCCTACATTAATATATACTATACTATAAAATTAAAAGACATTTCTTTTAAATGTATAGCACATTTTGTTTAATGAGGCAAGAATAAATGACAGATAGGACAAAACATACGGAGTGTGTCCGGTGCGCAGAATGAGGCGACTGAAGCAGAACGGAAGAGATATTGATGCGTACTGTATTATATCTGTGCAGTAGTTTATTGAGCCTTTTCTCTTAACAGTTTTACAATTCCGTTACTGTGTGTGTTAAAAACAATTCATAGTGCTCTCTACTCCCGTGTTTTGTTCTAGCAGACACCTGGTAGCAAGTAACATGATTTAGAAACAACAATAAACCCCAGCAAGATAAAGTCCCTTTTGTGCAAAATCATAGACTCATCCCTAGTTCAGATACACAACTGCTTCAGCTCTGTTAAACTTTACAGAGTTCAATAACAAGGTGCACAGGCGTGTCGAACAAACGGAGTGATGTAATTCTGACTGAAATATACATCTTGTTAAAATACTTTGCATCCAAAAGTGGAAGCACTTCAAACCTGTTTTTTCCACTTACAACAGCTCTGCAAACTTTAGCACAAAGATGGTGTGGCAGAGGGTTGCAGCAGTAACGACAGAGCCCTAGTGTGTTCAGTAAACCACTGTTTAATAGAAAAGAAAAAACGAGCCATTTTATGGAGCGATGATCCACAGACCAGCAGCAGGACTGTGAGTGTGATTACTGCTTAAAGGAGTGGTTTTTAACTGATTAAAAAGTTAAACGCCTAAAAGAGAGAGAGCAACACTTGAGAAATATCATTCAGATGATGCATATTAGTTTTATAAAAAAAAAAACATGGAGGCATATATTTGACATTTTATTCCTAAAAACATGGTGAAAATGTGCTTGCCGTTTCTGTGACTATTCTAATGCAAACAGAAGCGTGAGCGGGTTAATGTGAGCGTGTTCTCCCGCAGGCGGCTCTGCTGACGGTCGTTCGGCGGGACTCTTTTGCGGCCAGCGAGCGGGAGATTTTCCAGGCTCTGGCCCGCTGGTGTCGGCAGAATGGCGATGGGACAGACACACAGGAAGTGATGTCAGCGGTGCGTCTGCCGCTCATGAAGCTGACCGAGATGCTGAACGTGGTGCGTCCGTCGGGTCTGGTTAGTCCCGATGATCTTCTGGACGCCATCAAGACGCGCTCGGAGAGCCGAGACATGGACCTGAACTACCGCGGCATGCTGGGTAAGTCATTACTCTTCAGCAAACACACTCAGGCAGCCAGAGCCCTGATCGTGGCTTTCAGTTCATATCTGTTCACGCTGAGCTCAGCTGAATGCTAGGGCAGCTCTGAACGCTGAGGACTGAAGACAGGCAAGCATTTCAAATCACTCTCTGTCTTCTCTGTCTTTCTATTACATGAAGCCAGTTTCAGCTGCTACTCTGGAAGGATTGAGTGTGGTTTGAGCAAACTCTGTTTTTCAGTTCATGATTTTACTGGTGTTTATCACCATGACCACTGACGCTGCACACATAGTTACAACCAGATGTATTCTGGTTAAGAGATTGCAAACCAGAACTGGACCAGTCAGCTGAGAGTAAAGTAACATTTATCTGACACAATGAAGCCTGTCTCTCTCTCTCCAAATTAAAGCAGCCACAGCATTTTAGAGGCAAAATCACACCACTTTTGCTGCTAAATTATTTATTATATATGTGAATTTTCAACATTTTCAAACCTAAAATCTAAATTATGCATAATTACAAGCAGCTAACCTTTACCCAAATACTAACCTTAATCGTGTATTAAGTACATGTAGTTGATTAATATTACTCAGTACTTAATATTATAATTACACTAATAAGGACGCCTTAAAGTGTAAGCATATTTTCTTACAGCTGTGTTTTTGCTGACTTTAAATTCCTGCTATCTTTCATAACGATCTCTTAATCTTCGGTAGAGAGCTGAATTATTCTGCCTCTCTCACGATGAGTGAATCAAACTGGCTCATGTTTGGTGTGATCGGCTGTTTTCTGCAGAACCACTGAACCTGATCTAAAGCGGGCTGGTTTTGTTTGGGTTTGTCAGCTCTGAATCTACTCTGAAACTCAAGAGTTTACAGATAAAAATACTAGAGCCTGACCGTTATATCGCTTAGCCGATATTATCGGCCGATATGAGCCTGTCGCCGATATATCGGTTTGTCTTATTTTTTGATGAATAAATAAAAAACAGTTCAGTACATATATATATATATACAGACTGTGAATATTAAACTGCAAAAAGACGATTTAAATACGAATGTTCTGCATGTTCATTTGATTACCAGAAAATGCACAACACTGTATTCTGTATACAGTACCAGTCAAAAGTTTGGACACACGAATGGGAAGTGTGTCCAAACTTATAAATATACTGTACTATAATATAGCCTACACATAAAGAATATCGATATATCGGTATCTGTCTTTTTTTACTCCCTAATATCAGTATCGGCATCGGCCCCCAAAAAACCCATATCGGTCGGGCTCTAAAAAATACTGATGAATCATGTTGTGCTAGTGTTGACACATTTTTGCCAGATGATCCCTAAAATCAAACCGAGGTGTCAGAATGATGTGATGGTGTGTGTGTGTGTGTGTGTGTGTGTGTGTGTGTGCAGTTCCTGAGGAGAACATCGCCACGATGAAGTACGGCGCTCAGGTGGTCAAAGGCGAGCTGAAATCGGCGTTACTCGACGGAGACACGCAGAACTACGATCTGGACCACGGCTTCTCCAGACACCCCATAGAGGAGGAGGGACGCGCCGGGATCCAGGTCAAACTCGGCCAGGCCTTCATCATCAACCACATCCGCATCCTCCTGTGGGACCGGGACAGCCGGTGAGCCTCTCATCTGACTCTGTGCATGAGTGTGGATGAAGATCATGAATCTGAAGGGGACTGACTTCAGAAAATGTCTTTTCATCTCCACCGCAGTTTGATGCCTAATAAAATAGTGTTTCTAACACTGTCCAGGGGTAACCGCTGTATTTCTGCTGTTTCTGACATAAGCTTCACCTGTCAGACAGTGAATCTGCATTTTCATTCAGCCCGTCTGCTTTCATTTAATTTTTTCATTTTAGAAAACTGTCAAAACTTATTACCTTTACTCATTAATATACTATTGTTTGACCTGTGAATTTGTTTAAAATTTAGCTTACGGTCATTTTAGGGTGTTACCGTACTCATTGGTGTTGTTTCAAAACAACAGTGCTACTTAAACAACATGTAGTTCTGTTCTAATATCAGAATTTGTCCAGTGTGGAGGACTTCAGGCTGTTGCTAAAGGGGTTTTGTTGGGAAGCGTGATTGAGCTGGTTGTGTTTCATGTGTGTTGATGTTATTGAGTGACAGCTGATTGTGAGTTCTTCCTCTCCTGCAGCTCGTACTCCTACTACATCGAGGTGTCTGTGGATGAGCTGGACTGGGTTCGAGTGGTGGATCACTCCAAGTTCCTGTGCCGCTCCTGGCAGAACCTCTACTTCTCTCCTCGGGTCTGCAGGTAAAGCGCTCTGGAGATCACATGCTCTCTTCATGAGGTCTCCTAATGATCATGATCAGGGAAAAGCCACGCGATAGTTGCCGAAGGTTTTTTGTTGTCGTTTAATTCATCCGTGGCCAGAGCTGGAGGGTCTACAGTATTACTGCGCCACCTAGAGGTGAAATAAAACATCACAGACTTCGCATGCAGTTTACTGTGTCGTGATGCATTAGTCATTACAATAAATCAGAGACAAGAATGGAAACTGCTCACTTGTTGTCCTGATTTGATAGGAGAGGAGCTATAAACTTGAGTAGATCTTGCTGCAAGGTCATTGCATATTAATATCCACCTTGTAAATGTAAAATTGCTGGCCATAAAAACAAGAGTTGATATTCCAACTTGAAAATCCAGCATCGGTGGAATAAGTGTCTGCTGGCTGTCACTGCTGATGCTGTCAGAGATGTGGAAGCAGATGGATTTGTACTGTTCTTCATGTCTCAGGTACGTGAGGATTGTAGGAACACACAACACCGTCAATAAAGTCTTCCATCTGGTGGCTTTCGAGTGCATGTTCACCAGCCGTCCTTTCACTCTGGAGAAGGGGCTTGTGGGTAAGACGTCAGGTTGGCATGCAGTTGTTTTATCTGCGGTGTTGTGTTTGTCATGTGTGAGTGAATGTCCTGCACGTGTCTGCAGTGCCCAGTGAAAACGTGGCCACCGTCTCGGCATGTGCGAGTGTGATCGAGGGAGTGAGTCGCAGCAGAAACGCCCTCCTGAACGGAGACACGCGCAGCTACGACTGGGACTCGGGCTACACCTGTCATCAGCTGGGCTCCGGAAACATCGTCATCCAGCTGGCACAGCCCTACATCATCAGCTCCCTCAGGTACCTGTGAGTGAGTGAGTGAGTGTGTGTGTGTGAGTGTGTGTGTGTGAGTGTGTGTGTGTGTGTGTGTGTGTGCGAGTGCGCGTGAGTGAGTGCGAGTGTGTGTGCGCGTGAGTGTGCGTGTGCGTGCGCGAGTGTGCGCGTGCGTCTGCGTGAGTGTGTGCGTGAGTGTGAGCGTGCGTGTGAGTGCGTGTGTGAGCGTGCGCGTGAGTGTGCGCGTGCGTCTGCGCGAGCGTGAGTGTGCCTGAGTGTGAGCGTGCGTGTGCGTGTGTGTGAGTGTGAGTGTTCGTGTGAGTGAGTGTGAGTGTGTGTGTGTGAGTGTGGGTGCGTGAGAGTGTGTGTGAGAGTGTGAGTGTGTGTGTGTGAGTGTGGGTGCGTGAGAGTGTGTGTGAGAGTGTGAGTGTGTGTGTGTGAGTGTGGGTGCGTGAGAGTGTGTGTGAGAGTGTGAGTGTGTGTGTGTGAGTGTGGGTGCGTGAGAGTGTGTGTGAGAGTGTGAGTGTGTGTGTGTGAGTGTGGGTGCGTGAGAGTGTGTGTGAGAGTGTGAGTGTGTGTGTGTGAGTGTGGGTGCGTGAGAGTGTGTGTGAGAGTGTGAGTGTGTGTGTGTGAGTGTGGGTGCGTGAGAGTGTGTGTGAGAGTGTGAGTGTGTGTGTGTGAGTGTGGGTGCGTGAGAGTGTGTGTGAGAGTGTGAGTGTGTGTGTGTGAGTGTGGGTGCGTGAGAGTGTGTGTGAGAGTGTGAGTGTGTGTGTGTGAGTGTGGGTGCGTGAGAGTGTGTGTGAGAGTGTGAGTGTGTGTGTGTGAGTGTGGGTGCGTGAGAGTGTGTGTGAGAGTGTGAGTGTGTGTGTGTGAGTGTGGGTGCGTGAGAGAGTGTGTGAGTGTGTGTGTGAGTGTGTGAGTGTTCGTGTGAGTGAGTGTGAGTGTGGGTGCATGAGAGTGTGTGTGAGCGTGTGTGTGAGTGTGTGTGTGAGTGTGTGAGTGTTCGTGTGAGTGAGTGTGAGTGTGGGTGCATGAGAGTGTGTGTGAGCGTGTGAGTGCGTGTGTGTGTGCGTGTGAGTGAGTGTGTGTGTTTGCGTGTGTGCGTGTGAGTGAGTGTGTGTGTGTGTGTCATTCTGTCAAACAAATATCAGCATTAGCAGCAAAATGCAGTTTTTTCCTCCGTATTCTCACTATATCAGACTGTATGAGCCATAAAACCTGATGCATCAAATATGATACTCAACAGAAAAACACATGCAAAAATTTTTACTTTTTTTTGCCTAAAGGTTAAATATACATATAATAAATATACAATGGCAGTGCAAATGCCTTCATTAAGAAACCCATTTAGTGTAAGTTTGAGATGGACACAGTACTCAGCACTCAGCTGAGAGACGAGAACACATTTCTTGATTCTGCTGAAGAGTCAAACGCTGAGGTGCTTTCAGAGCATCACGACGCGACACTAACTGCACCAGTGAAGGGCAGAGGAGCCCCACAGACGTCTGTAATGCGTTTCTGACTCTTTTCTGACTCTTTCAGGCTGTTGCTGTGGGACTGTGATGAACGCTCGTACAGTTACTACATCGAGGTGTCCACCAACCAGCAGCAGTGGACCAAAGTGCTGGACCGGACCAAAGTGGCCTGCCGGTGAGCAGCGTCTCTGCACCACAACACACACTCACACTGACAATTAGTGTTGATTATTAAATGTGATTTTCCGTTAAATTTTTTAAAGAGTGCATGGGTTTCTCTTTAACGTGACGCTCTCTCTGACCCATCAGATCCTGGCAGGTGCTCAGCTTTGACAAGCATGCGGCGGCGTTCGTTCGGATCGTGGGAACTCACAACACTGCCAATGAGGTGAGAGCGGCGTGTGGAGTAACTCGGCACAATCCAAGCATCTGCGGCCTCTGACCTCCTTCCCATGATTCCTGCAGGTCTTTCACTGTGTGCACTTCGAGTGTCCCACGCAGCTGAAGGCTGAGGGCAGCCCAGGACCCGCTCCGTCCCATCAGACGAGTCCGAGTCACAGGTGATGCTCCTCAGGAGGTCCTGCTGACTGCAGATCACACACTCTTCATCACCATCATCACACCTTCGCTTTCTGAATAACCCCATTTACTTCATTTGCATTGCCCAGGTTTTAATGGTTGATTCTGTTGTTTTATGTGTTATTTATTAGATTGTTTGCTTATTGTAAATGTCAGTTGATCTGAATCATATTTATTCAAATAAGAACTTGTTTTCTCTTGTAATATATTCAGTTTTGGCGATGGCGTTGCACTATAGCATTGGTAGTGGACTGAAACACTTATTTTTAATTAGAGTTTCAATTAGATCCATCCAAACTATTATTAATCATCCTATCTGATCCCAACTGAATCCAAGTATACGTGATATTTTACTCCGCTCAGTGTTGTACTTCTAGCCCTTTTTATGTATGGTAGCAAACACACTAGAAATAATAGTTTGATGCTGAGCTGTCTGAACGTCACTGGTCTTCCAGAATCTGTGTGTTTGGTCTGGGCTCTGATGCTGCTCGGGACACACACACACACACACACACACACACACGGTTTGTAAGTCTGTAAATAGGCTCAGTCATTTTGAAGCTGTGCGTGTTTCTCTGGGTTTGTATCTGCTGAACTCAATAAAGTGTTGGTTTCCTAATGTGCTCGCTAATGATTTACAATATTTTGAGTTTAGCAAGTGGCTGGCAACCCCCTGTACTGTGTTGATCAGTCTACACTGAGTCAGTCTTTAGGGCAGATTCATCAAGACTGGACTTGCACCCGATTCAAGCGCTGTTTCTTCCATGAGCTCAGTTCACTGAAGGAATCCTGTAGATCACGCAACCGCATAAACCCCCAGAAAATCTGCACTAATAGCAGTTTGCAGCAGCCAAATAACTACTCTTACAACATTTTGAGAAATCTGAACTTTTGGCACACAAGCCACAGAATGAAAAGAAATAAAATAAGTAATTGTGACTTTATCTCAGAGTTCACACTTTTTTACTTGCCATTCTAGGTTTATGTGTCTCAATTCTACATTTTTTTTTTCTCTTGCAGTTATGAGGAAAAAGTCGGAACTGTGAGATGGTAACTTGCAAACCGTGTTGGGGAGTAACTAGTTACATGTAACGGCGTTACGTAATTTAATTACAAAATAAATCTAACTGTAATCCGTTACAGTTACTAAGAAAAAATGTGTAATTAAATTACAGTTACTTATGAAAATGTTAACGATTACAAAGGGGGTTACATCTGAATATTTACACACATCCACATACAGATTTAACTGATTTCTTTCCCAAATTACACTGACTACTCTGAGACATAAGGCCCTATAATTTCCGCGATGTGGAAAACACAGACTGGTTCGTAGAATCCAGTCATAAAAACGGAAGTCCTATAGCCTAACGCGGACGGAATATGCCACATTTTGGACGAATAAATCAAAAGTAGGTCAGTACACTTGAATCAAAACGCGATATGGACTAGTGTCTGAGAATATTAAGCCGCAAAAAAGACAATATATGAATCCTGCACATTCTGCGTGTCTGTGGAAATCAGGCGCGGACTAGCCATCGGGAGAACCGGGACAATTCCCGGTGGCCTGGCAACCGATTTGCCCCGCTATTTTAATATTATTATTG